GTCCTTATGGTGGAAATGATAAGTTTCTTGATTTAGCTCCTCTTGACAATTTAGTTGCATCACATTAATATATATCTTATGGCCATCGATAGAGGCTGTGGTTTGTGGTATTTCTACAAGTAATTCATTGTAAAGATTAACAATATAATGTATATATAGATATATTTATAAATATTTATTGATAAAATTGTTGACACTGTATATGGTATATGGGAGTATTCCAAGCATAAAAGAAACGGACTCATAAATTGCGTTTAGTGAGTCAGCGAAGGAAAAAATTTCCCGTGACAATTTAAGAATTTGCAATATAAAACTGCATTAAACATCAATAGACTCATCAATTAATTAAATGAAGCTGTCCTTATGCGAAGGCAATCATTTGTAAAGCAAAAATTCGCAACATTTATGCGTATCGTTAATTGATAAATGTCACTTGTTGTAGACAAGATTATTATCACTTCTCGACCCATTGCACCATACATGTATATCTTCGGTAATTGCTTTTCAAATTTAAACGATATGGATGTGAAAAAATCACTTCTAAAGGCAATGTTTTGTTGAAAATACTTAAAACTATCAATATTGTATTTTTCAAAATCCATTCAAAGTCCATTTTTATGAGTAACTAATAATAATCAATCCTGAAAAAGTCAGATATTTGCAAAAGAAAATTTTTTTGAAAATTTAAAGTAATTACCGTATCACTTTCAATCACAGCCTCTACTATTTAAGGCAAATTTCAGGCAAATTTCTAAGGCAAATGCTTGAGTCCCAGTGTACAAATTTAAGTTCATTATTAACATTGCGAACTATAGATGTGTAACATGAACAAAACACATTTGGTAATGGATATTTTATTCAGCGCCGTAATAAGTGTTGATTTTATGTTTTTACCGATCCAGTTATGCACCTAATTGTTAACTTATTGTCTATGATTTATGAAAAGATGCCACATGGGGTTTTCTTAATGCCCGGATGTTCTCTAGCGTTTATTTTTATTTGATTTCAGTTTAAGGTGTTGTTACTTTTTATCAGAAATATGTTTATTAATGTTGCAATTGTATTTATTGTTTCATCTTTATTGTTAACCGATTGAAGAAAAAAAGGATTTAATTGCATCAATATAACTTATTTATTGCTGTGCCTAGCAATGATGGTGCTACATGTAATTGGCATTATGCCAGAATTCTTTTCAATATTGCCTTTTGGCCGGTTATATTTATTTTTACATGGACATAATATCTGTTTTTTTAAAAGAAATCGACTCTTAAAATGTATGAAGTTCAGTAACAAAATGTGCAGTTACAGCGAATTCATTTTCTTTTAGAAAAGGTATAAAAGATTAACGAACTGATTTGGCTTTCACAAAATTTTGAAAATATCTTGATTATAGCCGGGCTTCTTTTAAGTGCGTGTTTTCAAATCTACTAATTTCATTTCTTTTCTAGTCTTCTCTAGTTAAAATGCTCGATGAAGGACATCAAAATTAGACTAATTTAGAGGTCTAATTTAAAATCCTGGCCATGGGGAAATGAACGGTGTAAATGCACATGCGTTTTGTAGTTCCTACATAGTATCATAAGTGGAGTTTTGTTTGGCAGAACAGTTGTTTACCTATTTAGTTTCATTTTGCTTGTGAAACTGAATTTCAATTTAGTCTCAGCCAAAACATTTTGCATAAATGTCTTTTAAATTTTTTCAAAAAAAAAAAAAAAAAAAGAAGCACAAGTTGACAAAAATTACATTGATATTTAAATGCCTTGATAAGACATCTGAAATAAAATATTTTTGTTCCGTGAAAATTTGTTTTCGGTTTATTCAGGTCTTGGTCTTCTTCATAGAAGTTATATATATATATATATATATCAAGCTGCTAAGAATCGCCCCTCTCTCTCTCTCTCTTAATTGAATATGCTGTTACTTATTTGAGAATGCACAAAAAGCTTTAACAGTTAAAAAGAAAAAGAAGGTCAATTTCGGCGCAATCGCGTCTCATAATAAATTCGCTGTTTTTGTCACAAAAGCCACCCAAATGCCAGCATTAAGTTTCAAATGGTATAAGTAAGAAAATAACCAAAATACATTGTTTAATATTACCTGAAAGTGATATATATAACTTAAATAGCCATCTCCCTTTGTCCTGATTGCCGCTGGGGAACTTAAAGAACCATCTCCCTTATCTGACATTCCTTTTTAACTCCCTTATCCACACACAATGCCGTATTTTTTTAAATCCTGCGTCCACACACAATGAATTATTTTCAATTTTTACCTGTCCTGATCATTCACTGATGTCTTAGTATTTTCGACTGAATTTGCTTTTGTAAAAGTGGACCCTGATTTTATTGAAACAACTCATAATGCACACCTTTCTTTAAAATAATAATAATAATAATAATAAAATGAAAAAAAAAAGAAAATTACGGGAAGTAGCATGTTATTTTATGTTTCTGGGATTTACCATTTTTCATGCTTTACTCGTCGAATACGTGTGGATTCTTCTAGGAATGTTCCTTCCTTAATTATGGCACAAACAAAAACAACTGAATTTTGATAATTTTGCTAGCCACGATTCTGCTCTAAAATTACATTTTAAAACCACCTTCAAGTGTTTAATTAGTTGATAACCTTGCTGTAACCTCGTGCCCTTTGCACATGGGTTTCAAAGAATTGTGTTTGCCTAGGAAATCCTTGCACCTGGAAGCTAAGCTCCTGGAAAATCGCTTGTGGCAGTGCTCATGTAATTCGGAGAAGAACTTGTAAATCGGAGTGAAAAATAATTACACGAAATTCCTTTCGTTAAATAAGTTTGGGCAAACTACGTATTTAATGACGCACTGTATATTAACACCATTACAATGGAAATCGGGCTGGAGGAAAGAGCGCTACGTACAAGAGCTGAAATCACCTCCAAAGGAAATGGCAAACAACCGAAGAGGACTCCGAATGAGCTTAAAAATTATGACTTCCATATTCGGAAAAAATATTATCATTTCTTAAGATTTATATATTTGAATATTTAAAAAATGTTCTATCGTGAAAAAATTCATGAAAATTTGTGAGGATTTTTTTTTAAATAGATCTTGCCCATTATCAAACATACAAACCATTAAACATTTGGTTTAAGTTACAGCTACCACATGTGCAATGTCCTGGAAAAACAAATGCATTAAGACAAATGAGAATGAATTATAACTACATTGTACCAAACCAAAGATGAAATTTAATGTACTGTAAGAAGTGATGAGACGCTTGTGCAGCGCGGATTCAGAAAATAAAATGTGAACTTGATTATGTTAACGCTAGCATATTTTAAAACCTGTAAATGGTTAAAAATGTAAATGGTGTTATGTTCAAAGGTAGAAATACGTTTGAATCACGTCTGTTCAAAAACATGAAATGAAACAAACTTTCCAACAAGCTTATACTGTGCAGATGAGTCCCCCAGTCGCATTTTGAATTAATAAAGCTATGATTCATCACATGTGTACAATTACTATCTATGTAGTGCTATTTAAAAGCACATATGTTTTTAATTGGATTGATCGGGGCGGATTTAGGCCGTCTTCTGGGTCTTCTGGAAGACGGTCAGATTTTCAAGTTTACATTGTCAGCCATCTAATGTTTTCTGTCGGAAGACAGTCAAAAATGGAAGATGGACCAACAAAGATAATTTGGAAGACTGCCAGGAAATATCTCTGGATCCGCCCCTGATAGCCCTTGTTTGATAGCTAATGTTGTAACGTTGCTTTGATATGTCTACTAATAAGACTGAAGCATCATTAATTTTAAGAAATGTATCGAAGTTTTAGAACAGGCGTCGAGAGACGTAATGAAAAAAGAACCTGGAAATGGTGTTCGAATACAAATTCTAGACTGAAGAAATGAATAAGATGAAGACGACAGAAAGAAAAGTATCAAAGGCGGGGTGAAAATACGCTTCATCTATTTATAATAAAGTTGACATGATATGATATGATATGATATGTAATGATGATTATAATGATATTATACTAATAATGCATTCAGTTAGGGCGTATATTTCATGGAATGATCAGTCCATTTAACAACATAAAATGGCAAAAATTATAAACGATTATACCAAGGAGTTATCATTGGTAATACATAAGAAAGTACTAGTATTAATATCTAAAATAAAAGTTTATTACACTTAACCAATTGCTTTTTGTCATATGAAATGGATGCATTATCAATAATATCTTTTAGAAAATAAGTCGCTATTTCTTTTTTTGAAGTTTTCTGGGTGTTAGATTTTCCTTGAATAGGAGGGTAAGTCATTCCACTCGGCACGGGTTGTTATTTAAAATTTTTATCTGCGTAATGGGTCTCTCTCCAATACAGGCAGCGATATTCAAGCAAATTTCTTGGGCCATTCCATCAGAAAGCAGGAATTGAAGAATCTCAGCCTTAGTGGTAGAATACCCGGCAACAGTGTCCGAGGCAGAACACAAAAGGCCGTCCTTGACAATTTTGAATTACCAGCAAGACACCTTTGGTTAATGGCGAGAAACAAACCTCTGGCAAAATATAAAAGTTCGTCAAACACCGCATCGGTGATGACACATACATGTAGAGAAGAAGAATGGGCATTGCACGACAAGTCTTGGGAAGATGATTGTCCGAACGGAGTTTTACACATTTTGCTCTCTGTGGCATCAAAATTTACCCTAGTTTCTTGATTTCAGTTTTGCCATCCCGATCTTGATTTCATATTTAACCCATATCAGCAAAACTGAAGCTATCCCATGCCAACGTTTGAATATTTAACAAGCTAGCTCTACAGTGGCCCTGACACTCAGGGCATCAAATTTAGGCTTCTTGACTGAAAGTTGAATATATTTCGAACTTGCTTTCTTATTTTTAAAAATTTGTCTATGTTTGAGAATAGTTTTAGTAGTAACATTTTAATGTTGAACTAAACAATGCTATACCACTACCTCTTTTTACTTGGCCCGAAAAGGAAAAACCACTAAGCTTACCTTTTAGCAATTCTAATTTCTTTATCACCATGCTGTTTGAAATTGAATGTTTTTGGCATTTTGGCAACTGCACAGGAAAATGCCTCCTTTGAGACACTCTAGAAATAAGAATTAAGGATGTTTAGGATGTTTTAAGGATAATCCGTACACATTTCCTCTTGCCCCTAATCTCACTTTTTTGCCCTTCCTTATCATACGAACTCGTTTATGATGCTTGATATTTAACATACCTTAACGAGTAACGTAATACAATTAAAACATTAGAAACATCTTGTAAAAAGGGGTAGAAATCAAAAGAGCACAACAAGAGACCCTTGTTATAATACATAATATAATACAATATAGGAGTAACAATAATCTATTCTTAAAAACTGCACTCCATATGTGACTACTGAACATTTAAAAGTCTGTCTCCAATTTGTGGCTGCAACTGGTAAGACCTTGCGGGGCCTTGTCTTGGGTTTCTTTCTTTTGCAACATCTAAATGTGTAGAGTTCGAAGGATATTTAGATTTTTTAATAGCATTCTATTGTTTTATAATTGTTAAGACACAATGAACAGATAAATTTATTTCAATTTTGAAAATTTATCACAATGTAAACGAATACGCGACTTATGTCAGGTATACACTTTCACACAGCTTAAAATCTGTCACTCTCTCACGGTTGATAATTTGACAGATTACAAAAAAAATCACCTGAGGAAGGTAGTGATAATTTTAAGCAGGTGTCTGAACATATTCTAAAACCATCAATCTACCTGATATGTAAAAAAAGTTCATATATGTACTGTGGCAATGTACAGCTTAATCAAATTGTTGCGTAAAACATTTGCCATTTTTTAAAAATATTTTATAATAATAAGCTAAAAACTCAACATCGAGTTGTAATTATATGACTTTATTTCATAAAGCAAGTAACTTCACATGTTCGATATGTCAACCTCAAAATTGGTTGAACAGCAGCAAAAAACATGTTTGCCATAATGTATTTATTAGTTCTGATGAAAAAAAATAAAGATGGTGAATGGAGGAAAGTACATTTACAGTAAACTGGGCGGTAAGCTGTACAAATGTATGGGATGGGGGAGAGTTGAAGGCCTGCAATCTATGGGCGCATTCCCATAGATTTTAGATTGATCTATCCCCGTGGGGAGTCTCACTAGATTACTGTCACATAATCCGGCTTAAATGTCCGTCCCGCCTATTTCAAGCTGTACGGGGGTAATTAACTTTCATACCCGCTCGGCTGACAGCTATTTAGCGTGAGCCCCAGGGAGTTAGGTCGATCTAGTTGGATCAATCTAATCTCTGGGAATGGGGTCTATGACTGCATGACTGAATGACAAGCATCCTCCTGGCATTAAGTAGAAGAATACAGAAAAGCTGGTGATTATATGAGTACATTAGAAACAAGAGGAGGCATTTAGCGAGAGTCCCTGCAGAGTTGGGTCAAGCCACATAGACTGATGGTGTCTATAGGAATTAATGGGATCTAAAACATATTTGTACTGTAGTGTCTTAGGGGCCATTCAGAATGAGAAGATCCGAGTGCTAACTGGTCCACGGCCTAAACATGGTAGACCTACATGAAAGAAGGACCGCTTAATCCTGTAATGGTCTCTCCGCCTCTTACAGGCCTACCCATGCATGGTCACTGCAGGAACACAGTAATTAAATCTCGGTTCTGTTCAGAGGGTTGAGGGACGACGGGTGGGGAGGTGTATAAGAGGTGGAGAGGCCATTACAGGATTAAGCGGTCTTTTTATGTAGGTCTGCCATATTTAGACCGTGGACCAGTTAGCACTCGTATCTTCTCGTTCTGAATGGCCCCTTAGTTTTTTTAGTTACATCAGAAACGAACAAAACAAGTACACTTTGGACAAAAATGCTTTCATAATAGACAAAAATTGAACATGATTATGTCAACAGATGATTGAATCAGTGTAACTTAACAAGATCAAAATTCATCCTTCACCAAAATGTGCTGATATGCAAATTCATATATTTTATTCTTTGCTTTTTAAAATCTACTATACATAAGTGTACAAGACTATGATACATTCACTGTTATTGTGTTTAATATTGATGTGTGCTGCATGTGAAGCATGCAATCACGAATGCACCTGCATGTACGCACATGCACCAATATACGAGTGTCTGTGTTTTCTAATTTCCTATCTGTAGATGTACTTGAGCAGAGCATATTCAATATGGCATATCAAGTGTTTATAATATGCAGCTTTTTTTGAGCACTTGAACACACACCCATTCTACTTTTTATACAGTTTATATTTGCCATAATTAACTGTTAAACATTCCATTTTTATTCATTTTTAGTTTGGTGAAACCAGTAGGAACATACATTACATTTTCAGAGACACAGCGGCTTTATTTCATAGTTTAGCCCCCAGTTCATACAGATAATTAACCCCAAATCAACTTTAGAACTCCTAACAATAATATAACCTTGAAAACAGAAGTCAACTATTTCTACTGGAAAAGTTAACTATACATCATTAACACCAACCTCATAAGTACAAACCTTGCCTTACACAAGACTTTGGTCTATGTCACTTGATCACTGTGCTCCGTGATTAAAAAAAATTAAGCACTGCAGATGCATCCCACTGAATGATATAATAAATCCCTTCAACAAGAGAATAACATGATGCATTTTATGCAAATTGCTTTCCCACCCATTTTTGACTCTTGGCATAGGATACATTTACGTGTGAAGAACCATCACAGTACGTGATTGCTAGCCATTATAAGCAACCTTCATTGCATGGGTAGTCTTTATACTGGATATTAAAGCTATTCGGGCCATGTCCTGCATCCCTTCATACATTTAACGCATTTATTTTACACAGCCTCTGTCTGGAAAGGCTCGGCCTTTCTTTAAACACAAACTGCCAGCATTACGGCATCAAATATTGCAACCTTGCCCTTTATAATGTCACTGAAGGCTGTCCAGGTGTTGAAGTAGGCTGAAAGGAAGAGAATTTCCTGTTAATAATGACGATGATTTTAAGGCTTCTAACATGCATATTAACACCTATTCCATTTTACGTATTATTGCATATGAAATCCCAATCTGTTGCTCCCTGGTCTCTTTCATAGACAAACAGCATTTTCTCATATAATTGCCGACAACAGGTTTCAAGTCCTTTATTTTTTTTTTGTTCTCCACACAAAATTATCCCCTTAATTAAATATCTAAATAACAACATGTAGAGATTGAATACTATTGAACAGTACTAAACTTACTTAGTACTATACTAAAGCCCAATAATGGGTATGGAAGCTGTTATGTTTTGCTCAAGTTCACTGCAAGATCTAAGATGGCTTGGATATCACATGGAGGGAAATTCTAGAAGCAAAGACATAATAATAATAATAATAATAATAATAATAATAGGTTTCTTTTGTGGTGCATTCCATAAATTTCAACCTCAATGCACCTTACAGTAAACACTAAGAAAATATTCAATCAAATTAAATCAGAATACTTTTAAAGACATTTAAAACAATATTTAAAACAATAACGTACATTCAAATGTTCATTGTCCACAAAATCAGTAAATCATGGTGACAGTGACAGATATAGTGGTACATGAATTTGAAAACGATTCAGACCAAATGCCAAATGAAGGCAAAGGACCATACTTTGATTAAAATTTTTCTAAATATCTTTTCATGCTTTTGCACAGTAATAATGTTACAGAAGAGATTAAAATGAAATATATTCAATATAAAAATATATTCAAAATGTGAAAATGTATGGGATGGGGGGAGGGGGAGAGTTGAAGGCCTGCAATCAGCCTATCTTAATGACATGTATACTCCCGGCTTTAAGTTGAATACAGAAAAGCTGGTGATTATACGAGTACATTAGAAACAAGAGGAGGCATTTAGCGAGAGTTCCTGCAGAGTTGGGTCAATTCTCATAGACCAATGGTGTCTATAGGAATCAGTGGGCTCTAAAACATATATATACTCACTATACCAAAATATCAAAAAAAAAAAAAAACAAGGCAGCAAAGCAGTCAAATGAACAAACAAAAACCAAAAAATAAAAACGCA